GCATGGCCAGGTGGTTAGGGCCCCGACATGGCCAAGTGATTAGGGCCCCGGCATGGCCAGGTGATTAGGGCGCTCGACTCACAATCTGAGGGACGCGGGTTCGAATCCCCGTCCCACCAAAACATGCTCGCCCTTTCAGCCGTGACGGTCAATCCCACAATTCGTTGGTAAAAGAGTAGCCCAAGAGTTGGCGGTGGGTGGTGATGACTAGCTGCCTTCCCTCTAGTCTTGCACTGCTAAATTAGGGACGGCTAGGGCAGATAGCACTCGTGTAGCTTTTCGTAAAATTCAGAACAAACATCTTAATTTACAAATTAAGAATAACATGAAGAAGAAAGAAAAACAGCTGCTGTTTACGTGATTTTTATTATAAAATTTAGGCCTATTTGTTTCTAATGCTTCGCCAGCTTTCGTCGTTTAAAGTGCAACTTCTAACGATGGGCCACGCTTGAACAAAACTTTCATCTCAAATTTCTATCTCTTCCTTTAAACCGATTTTTGGTATTTTAAGCAGAAACAGTAGGGCATAAAGCACTTTGGTTCCATTAATAAGTCATTTATATATATATATATATATGTCTAATGCTCTCTATTATTTATTTATTGATTTTTTTTTGTCTTCTTGGTTTTATCTCAAGACATTCTTGTATCATTAATATGCAACAGTAATATTACGTTTTCTTTTAATTTCAGCTGAATATCATTGTTGGTACAGGCACTGGAGTCCGTTTATTTTCTTCAAGACTTTACGAAATTTCAGTTCAAGAAAACCAGGTGGCGCCTTTATTAGTACTCGATCTTAACACCACAAAAGAAATTGCGCATAAACCTGTGAAATATAGCATTTCAGAGCAAGATGTGGATGGTAAGAAATTAGATTACTTTAATTTTAGTTATATTACAGTGTCAGCGTAAATAAATACAAAGTATAATTTATTTTATTTGTCATAAGATGTTAGTATTAGACTATTAGGCTTATATTTTTTAACGCGCTATCCTTTATTCAGTCGTATGGTTTTTCAAGAAGAAAAAGGATATAACAGTATTCCAACCACACAATATCCGCCAGCAACAGTTGGGTTAACCAAATATTATTTTGGTCAACACTGTGTTGAGTTCCAGCTTGCCTGGTGCGCTCTCTATTGAGCGAACCGCGTTTCTCAGTAACACTTATGGCGGATATAGAGTTTAGTGGAGGTACGATTACATACTCTTCATCTTATTGAAAAACTAATGTCTTATGACAAAAATAATTCATTATAATAAGCGTAAAACTAATGTCTTATGACAAAA